TTTTTTATTTATAAAATGTACCATTCGGTTGAGGCAAGTAGGACCAACCATAACACATGCAACCAAATTGGACAGGAAATGTTTGAATCGCCGTCGGAAATTAATAAAATTTCAACCCAAATATTTTGCTTGGGAAATTGACATTATTTGTAGAAATTATGGGATTTGTCGGTTCATGATCATATTGTAGTAGCCCACGTGAGATTTGGATACTCGGAACCAAAGCTTTTGATGCTTGAAGGCGACGGTGCGGCCCCCGGATCCCCGAATGGTCAATTCACGAGAACTTGAGCCGACGGTCCATAATTCATGATTCATGTTTATTTTGTATTATGCTTCATATAGTTTATAGTTTTAATAGCCACCGCAGAACGGAACGAGCTTTGTGAACTGTGCATCAAGTGTGGTCAAGGATCGAGTGAGAGTCCATGTCCATGTAAAGCCAATTGGGTCCCACCAATGTTCCTTGAGCCAGAGAAATTTTTATGTATACTAGAACACATTGTAGTATATAACGTGTCATAGAATAAATATACAACATAAATGATATGTCTCACTTTAGATTCCAATGTCTTTAAACTTGTATTATGACACGTGATGTTACTGCTTGAGTTTCGGGTACAATAAAAAACCTATATAAAATTATTATGATATGTTTTTTTATTCGGAAATGGTGAAGCCATATAGCGACATCCAAAGAAATGACAAGTATGAGATAAATAATCTCTCCCTTAGTTTCACTATATTTAATTTTTCAAGTATGTCGTACCCAAGGGGAATGGATCAAGAGTTGGACAAAATAATTTACAATCTAAAATTACATGGTCTATTTTGAATTACATCGATATTCTAGGATAAAATCCTACTCCTATTAAGATAATAGGTAGTTAAGTTATGGAAAATAATAGTGTTGTACTCATTTCTTTAAAACTTTAATACGTTATAAGCTGTTAGTAAACGCGTGATATGAAACGAATAAGAATGATAAATATTTTTTACAAAATCCATTCTTTATAAGTCAATATGTTCTAGTGTGACTATTATACCATCGTTTATAATAATTGATCAATTTACTATAATATGAATGAACTAAACATGGTTTCAAGTAGTCGGACTTGGCTCGAGATATGAAGTTTGGATATGACGAAGGGTCATGCATGTGATGATTTTTTACAACAACAAACGGCGGAGTCATGATCACGCCAATAAAATTTCCGGTTCACAAGAGCTTGAAAGGTTATTCAAAGTGGTGCCCGGTGGTGAGTAGCCAGCCGTATTTGATTTGACACTCAGTTGAAGATTAGCACTTTGTTTGGCTTCTCGTTACAACTGGGGGCAGATTGGAATTGTATATTATGGGGCCTAAAACGATAAGTAAATAAGCGGGCTCACGCAGTCTGACTTGCCTACTAGATTTTTTTTGAATTCTATCAACCGACGATGGCAATGGGCTTTTCCCCTTTAGAGATCTTTTGTCCTAATTGTCTTTTTCATCTTAAATCTCCTACCTTCGAAAATGATATTCACGATGACAACTTGAACAACCAAATGCGCAAGCCTCAAGTGGTACGAGAATGTCTTATACCGGACGAATATAATAAAATCGGTCTCTATTGTCTTACAATGGTCTAGCAATAATGTGATTCAATTAGTTGTTTATTAAATATTATTTTTTCTTTTCTTAATATAAGTTCAATAGAGACCGATTTTATTAAGAAAAGAGAAAATAATATTTAATAAACAATTGATTGAATCACATTATTGCTAGCCCATTGTAAGGCAATAGAGATTGATTTTATTATGTGGATTCAACTGCTTTAATTGGTTTATGAGGGGTTTCTTCTAGCATGATCTAAGATTATTCATTTACTTCAAATATTTAACTTTTCTTTTGTCAATTTACGCATATAAATACATTTAAAATGTGTAAATCATGCGTAGCACACCGTGATTCAAAAAATGCTTTTACACGCGCATAATTACGTGCATGAAGGCTAGTATTTATAAGTTGAAGTTGTTTTCCAAGTGGGAGAGAGGATGACTCCCAATTTATGTGACTAAAGAAAAGGAAAGCTAGTGTAGCGTACAAGGAATTGCACTTCCATGGTTCATAATTTGACTTTCCCCTCAGTCAACCTCGTGTACATGTATTTTACATGGGGAAGAAAAAAAATCCAAGCATGCCCTTGTTTACAAAAGTTTGAAGAGGTGGTGGTGTTCACACTTCAAAAAAGATTTAACTACTACAAGTCTACACCAAATGTTATTGATTCATTATGCACATGTCTGTATATTTTTTTGTTTGTGTATTTATAAATGAGAAATATATGATAGTTCTTCTGAAGTGTTAATAATAGTTCATTACTTTTTGTTAAAACACGCAAAGGAGAAGGCTTGAACTAGGGGTGGGCAGAATGGACCGAAAATCGAAATCGAACCATAAAAAAAATCTGCCAGTTCTGTTCGAATCCATTTTTTTCCGATCTCAGTGCAAAACCGAATCGGTCTATTAATAGTCAGGTCGGTATTTGTCATACATATCTCCGAAGCGAATTAAAGTTTCTTTTCCACTTGGCTGCCTTCAATTGGTTCTTGGGAGACTCCATAGGCTTACCATGGAGTTTACCACACCATATCTCACTCCTTATCTATTCTTTCTTTGAGAGAGATTTGTTTTTTTTTTTTAATTACTATTATTAGAGAAAGGAAGAAAGTTCGAAACTATTACAATAATTTAAAAGTGGGAAAGTTTTGAACTCGAGACACAAGTTTTGAACTCTAAAAGTGCATTTTAGATCTAGGTCCAAAACTAGGTTGTTTATGTTATCTAATTACATATTTTTGTAGCAATTCATTAACTTTTTTGATAAGGTTATATTATAAAAAGAAAAAAAAATGTAATACAATTAATTTGTTTTATAGGTAGACTATGAACAAAAACCTATGACATCGGTTGATAAACAATTAAACGTATATTCTACCTATAAGTGAAATATAAAATTTAACTAAAAGATACAAAAATATAATACACCTACAAACAAGATACATTAATCAGTGATACAAGTTAATTATAAATATAAATCTTTTATATAGATAGATAAATACAATTAACTATATCATTATAAAAAACAAATTCATAAATGGGGTTTGGAGCACAAGAGAAATAAATAATTAAAGAGATCATTATAATGAAATCAATTTTTATAATAAATCTTATCAATAAATAATAATTATAATAATAAAATAATCCTAAATTTAAGGGATTGGACTTATTTTAAGAAATTGGACTACACCTAATAGTGGTTCAAAAAAATTAAGCTTATATCAAGTTTCCCTTCTTCTTCTTTTTTTTTTTTTTTCACTTGAAATTTCTAGTAATTGAACCTGGATTGTGAGTTAAATGTGGTGGGTTGAAGCCAATCCAAATTTCTGGGAATCAAATTTGTGTGTTTCTGTCAATGAAGCCCAAAATCGAAAAGCGCCCATACCGTACAAGAATTGGTATCAAAATTCATTTTTGATTTCGGTTTCACCCCTATCTTGTATCGAACCAAACCATGTTCAGAAGTTTAAGTGGAAGACCTTAACAACCAGGACAATCCATCAATTGCCAAACAACTCTTGTTACAACGATGAACTCAAAATTCTACAATCAAATGAGCCATTTGTTACAGGACATTGAGTGCTACATAATTTTGAATAAGCCATTTGTTAAAGGTACTTCTGCTTTTTCGGCTTTTAAAAACTCAACAATCAACAGAATGAAGTGGCAAACAAGTTTGATAACAAGGCCAGAATGTATCTCGCTCTATGCTCAAGCCCAAATTGAAGTTCCAGGATGGGCCATTAAGTTGATTCCAACTATACCCTCTATTTAAACTATGAAAGCCCATATAGTTTCTAGGGCAAACAAGCAGCTCTACTCTGATTACAAACCCAAGACTGATTCTCCACCTCCCTGAGGCTCGATTTCAGTATATTTTTCGATTATTTTAGACGCTGAAATTTTTGGCCGTTAGATTATAATCATCGAATCTTTGATTAAAAATCTAAGAGTAAAAAACCTTGATGGATATTGGATAGCATAAACCGGAACACAATAAGAATATTTTGGTGAAGGGAAGTAGAGTAGTGCTGGAAATTCTGTAAGTGGTGGCACAAGAATTAGAACGGAAGGCACACATCACTAAACTTGCCAATTTTCCAAATTACTTTACTTTGGGCAGGTAGCTAGTGGATTTGGCTTCTCTGCCCTCCCACTTCTTAAACACTTTCATCCTTTCCTATTTGTGCGGTCACGGTTAAGTTACGTCAACATATTATATTACTATTGTTTTTTGTCTTATTTTCTTTATGAAAAAATCAATATAAAATGTTGACTTGACTTAATCGTGACTGCACAAAATAGAAGAGGATGAGAATGTATGAGAAGTGGGAGGTCAGAGAAGCTGGGTCCGTAGCTATGCTAGGTCAAACTTTCAAAAGTAGAAATTGTTTCCCAAAAGTGAAACTGCAAATCATTTCCCCTAATCAAGCAACGACACTAAGATTCTAACATCTCTGCTTATAATTTATTAAAAAAATTAAACAAACAAATTGCGATTAAAGGGTTAAAACTTTGTGTTTTGATTATGCCATATTTAAACAGTAATGCCACGCACAAGTGGGATTTTTCCTGCATTTTTTTTTTTGGAACAGACAATGATTGTGGCAAGCTGCAATCGGTGGTGGTTGTTGAAATTTTAATGGAGTCGGTATAGGGTGGTTGAGATAGTCAAAGTGCGGTTAAACTCATTTAACGATTATCATTCTAGCTCAAAACCGAGTGTTGCTAAACTAAATGATCATTTGCGCTTAAAAACAACAAAATTAAACCATTATGTAAATTGGGAATCCAACTCAAAATTGTAACATTCTTTAAAAAAAAAAAAAACCTAATAGAAATCTCTCTGCAATCATCATAAGTTCATAACCGAACAGATAAAATGATGCAAAGAAAATACCATAACACAAGATTAATTAACTAATTTCTCACAAACATAATTAGTTCTTTAAATCAAACAACATTACACTCTTAATACTTCTGCAGCGGCGGCAACAAGTAGATGCTTAATGCCATGAACAATAAAACAACCTCGAACACTAATACCCAAAACTTAGTTACTAATTACCCAGCAAACAACAGCATCATCGTCTGCATAGAGCGATCCTAGAGCATCCTCTGGAGTAAGGACGAACTGGGCCTCTGGCTTTGAAGCAGCTGTGGGTGTAATACGACCTCCCTGACCGCGGCGGGCAGGGGATGCGATTCGCCGACAGCGCGCCGTACGAAATGTAGTACTTCGTCCTCCACCAGAGCAGAGATCTGCGAGCGTACCCGTTTTCCACGTCCAGTTCCAAGTCCTCGCCGTCCTCATCGTCTGCCTCCTCGAGCTCATCGTACAGTGGCGACATTGTGGCGGTCGGCCACTCCAGAGCCTCCGCAACTAGCTTCAAGCTGGTCTTGTCGATTTGAGCTTGGATTTGAGGACCCAAATGGAGAAAAATGAGGAGGGAGCAGAGGAAAAGAGTGGTTGCAGTTGGAGAAGCCATGGAAAAACCTAGAGAGAGAAAATCACAGAAGTTTTTTTTTGGGGGGTGGGGAGGTGCTGGGGTTTAGTGCGAGAAATCTAGAGGTAGATTTGTCTTGTTTTGGGGGTCAGATGGAGAGCAAGGGGGGCCCAGGTTCACATGCGAGTGAAGAGAAAGGTGTGAGTGAGCAGAGTTTGGGTTACAGCTGAGTCCTGAGTTTCTTCAATGCAGGTATTAAAGCGTTTATTGTAACACCGTTCCATAACGTTATCAATTTTTAATCTAAATACTTCAAAACATGATCGTTCTATGATGTTATTTGAAATTTACGATAGTTCAGATTCAAAGCATTGAGTACGTCGTTACCAAAAGCCCTTCCATACAATCCAACGCTTGTTAAACAAAATTAGACATTCGTTAATTGGATCGAAAAGCTCCAACAAATACTCCAATATTGTTACCGAAAAAAAGTACTCCAATATTTGTAACCTCACCTACTTCGTACATCAAAATATTGTGACCTCACATGTAATATTTAACTCAGATAATAACGTAGTTGTGATTTCATCAACCTACATTAGAAGTGAGGCATATTATTTATGTCATCCATTTATATAAATTGATACATGGGATCTCATGTGTTTTCGAGATATGCAAAAATTTCTCGTCTTGAATACATTTTGTGTTTGTAAGGTGGGAGTAGCGGTTGGGTGTGCTACAATTTGTTCAGCTTGATTGGTGACGTGTTCTGTGTGAGATTGAGGCGTGAGACATTCTAGTTTTTTTTTTTGGGGGGGGGGGTGGAGGGAGAGGGAGGGTGTGGAGCTTATATGACATGTAAGGGATACGACATTAAAATTTGGTGTTTAGTGTACGTGGCTGGTTGAGATATGGTGTAATTTATCCCTCATTTATATTTCATTTATATTTGCTTATTGTTTTACTAAACAAAATTTTAAGAAAATGTTGGTCCTAAATCTTTTAGGAAAACCCATAAGCAAAGTAACACGATTAAGGACTCATTTGGAACTGTGTTTTTGAAATACACTTCTACTAAAAAAAAACAGCTTCAATAAAAACGCTTATTTTAGAAGAACATGGAAACTTTTAATAAAAATGCAAGTGTTTCTTAGAAAATAGAAAAACAATTCAAAATGTTCTTGAAAAAAGCACACACCATGTGTTTCTCTCAGTGGGTCTACTCAAATCCATCTCATATGTGGATTTACCCATGTTCATCCCTCTTGGTAATGGATACCCATTATACTCTTTATGTTGGGCGGCCCAATAATATAATAACATCTGTCATTATTTAACCATCTCATAACTCCCTAACTAAACACAACATTTCTACTATTCCACCAACCAAACACCCTTTTCTTTCTTCCTCACATTGTCCAATAATTTTTCTTCAAACCAAAAGAGGAAGCAAGCCTACCGAAGGCCTATGAGTTCGGTGTAATGGTGACAGAAAAATTGAATTCCGGTTCAATGCTGTCGTCTTGTACGCCTTCTTCTTTTTCTGCAGTGGTTTACTTAATCATTTCATTAATCTTCGTCGTCCACCACAGAGGATGACGAGTCGCATTTGTTGTAGAAGAAAGCGAATAGAGATGTGGGTCGCCAGAGAAGAGAACCCATGGTTGCCATGGCATGGAAGATGTGCAGATTTGTTGGAGAAAATATGAAGGGTCTGTTTGTTCACATGATTAATAAGATAAGAGAATAGGGTGTTTGGTTACTTGTTATAAAACTTAAATATGAACACATGTCTTGTTTTTATTTTGTCATATTGTATGGTGAGTAAAATGGGTAATGACTTATCCTATAACTATTAGCGGCTTTTTCAGGTTTATATCTCTCATTTTTTTCCATCTCTCTCTCTCTCTCTCTCTCTCTCTCTTCTATTTCCTTTCTTTCCCTTTGGCTATGTGACCCGTATAGAGTAATTATGTCAAATCATCACCATCACTACTGCAAACCTATTCAACCGCGCTTGTAATCAGCCACCAATCAATCGTTGTTAACTTTACCAAATATGCCAAGCCAACCCAAACTATGTCACTCCTCATTTCGTCATCCACCTACCCTTGTCGAACGACTCACATGTCTTCTGTTGTCCATTCAATTGGTTGAGATGAGGCATGAGATCGGGCATAAAGAGAGAGAAGGCAGGGAGGATAAATAGTTTTAAGTGGTGATGGTTGTGTAATGGACTGTGATTACCTTAATCATAAAGAATTAGGAATAATTAAGAATTGCAAATTTTGTTATTAAGAAGTTTGTTAGATTTCGCTAATTGGAACTTGATTATGTAGCTAGTTGTATAAATGTGATAGTAAACTCCAATTTTTGTAACGGTCTTATTTTTCAATAAAATTTTATTAATAAAAAAAACAATATTGGTGCTATGCTCTTTCTTCAATCTCCATTGTTATTTAGCATCTAGGTCAAAGTTGAATAAGATCTAATAGTTGGTATTGTGGGACCATGATTTTTCAGGGCCTGAGCAAGACGGATCATAATACGTATACCTTAGAAGTTCGGTTATGGACCCAACAACTCCGATCAAATTGAGCAAATGGACTAGCGATGTCACCATCATCTTGTGTTCCGAGAAAGTAGGCAAAGTTTGTCGACTATGCTAAGATTGACCATTCTTGTTTCGCAAGATATGGAATCTTGATCCAAATAGGGATTAGATAAGTTTCCTATATTCTTGGATATTCTTACAATCTAGCAATTGGCATGCGCTGCAAATAATCACACTCCTAAAAGGAAACAACATCCATCTCTAGATATATTTAAGGATTCTCCCAATTAATACGGATTCCATATCCTAAAAGGTTTCTTTTCGGACTAGTATAAGCTTCACATGTGGATGTGTGCGAATTTGATTTCAACAATTGGTACTTTCACTAAGAGTAAACTCATATTCTCCCCTCGAAATCACTTCACCCCCACTATGTTTGCCTCAAATCAATACCCATGCGACTCCGCTATACCGAGGAACAGTGACACCCTTGTTGGTGAAGTCACCCCTACCATGAACTAAGTCTTGACAACTTTGATGAGGATTAATGTATATGTTAACAAACTTTGAAAGGCTTTGAGGGCCTCTCAAATGGAAGATCCTTCGAAACTTATGTACTTCAAAAGATGCGTGAAAAGCCTTAGAAGATGCCGTCTTTGGATTTGAAGAGCCATCTGTCATGGCAATGTATGTTCGGGCTCCAATGAAAATTGCTAATCTGAACCCTTGTGTGGTGCTCCATAGTTAGACGTCCAACACCTCTCATAAAAAGCCCAGACGTAATTGGAAATCATCCAAGTATCGATGGCCGATGAAGAAAAAAAATTGTCAGTGTCAACTGTATATATGGGGCACAAAAACATCTAGGCAATACTAGAAATAGGAGAAATGCGGCATGCAACTAGACTAGGATGGTGGTCTTCATGAACAAGCCTTGATCATAACGGTCCAAATCTCGGATGCCATGGTTAGGTACGTGCTGGTAGACAACATATCTGGAGTTAGCATCCTTTTCAAAGAAGTAGATGAGATGAGAGGATTGGAATTATGGATAATTTCAACATGAGTAAGACTACTCTGCATACCTTCAATGGTGCTCATGTTCAATCACTTAGAATTGTGAAATCAGCGGTTAAGGCAGAACCTATAATTATCTTGTAGTCTTTATGTTATGGACTGTCTAACTCCACATAACACCATCTTGGGCTGAAACTGGCTACCCAAGATGAAAACAGTCTCGTCGTCGCACCATCAACTACTTTGATATCCTACACGTTGAGGGATAAAAGAAACTAAGAGAGATAAGGTCACGGTCTACTGCTGCTCAGTAGAAAGCCTAAACATGATATGAAAAGGAGAATGATGCTTCGTAGCTCTAATGGACAAAATCGCATAGCAACCATAGTCTGGGGGCCAAGAAACAAGCTACATGGAATTCGACATGGACCCTTAACCCCAGTATGACGGTACTTCGAAATCAAAAGCAGATAAGGATGATGTCTACTTAAGTTTCTATCCCGACAAACCCGAACTTAAGGCCATAATCAAATCAAAGGTATCAGATTGTGACAAAAGAGCTATTCACTGCCTTCTTACAAGCAAATAAAAATGTATTGGCTTGGTCTACTGAAGACATGCCTAGTGTCTATCATTCAATAATTTGCCACCGTCTCCATTTGGATCTAACCATGAAACCGGTTATCTAGCGAAAGTGTAATCACGAAATAGAGCGAAGTAAAATCATTGTGCTGAGATCGAAAAATTAGGGACGCCAACTTTAAAGTAAAATCATCGTCCATTCAATTGGTTGAGATGAGGCATGAGATGAGGCGTGAAGAGAAAGAAGGCAGGGATGATAAATAGTTTTAAGTGGTGGTGGTTGTGTTATGGAATGTGATTACCTTAATCATAGAGAATTGGGAATAATTAAGAATTGCAAATTTTGTTATTAAGAAGTTTGTTAGATTTTGCTAATTGAAACATGATTATGTAGCTAGTTGTATAAATGTGTTTGTAAACTCCAATTTTTGTAATGGTCTTATTTTTCAATAAAATTTGATTAATATAAAAAAAATATTAGTGCTTTGTCTTTCTTCAATCTCCACTGTTATTTAGCATCTAGGTCAAAGTTGAATAAGATCTTATAGTTGGTATTGTGGGACCATGATTTTTTAGGGTCTGAGCAAGACGGATTAGAATACGTATACCTTAGAAGTCCGGTTATGGACCCAACAACTCCGATCAAATTGAGCAAATGGACTAGCGATGTCACCATCATCTTGTGTTATGAGAAAGTAGGCAAAGTTTGTCGACCACGCTGAGATTAACCATTCTTGTTTTGCAAGATATGGAATCTTGATCCAAATAGGGATCAGATAAGTTTCCTATATTCTTGGATATTCTTACAATCTAGGAATTGGCGTGTGCTGCAAATAATCAAACTCCTAAAAGGAAACAATATCTATCTCTATATATATTTAGGGATTCTCCCAATTAATACGGATTCCATATCCTAAAAGGCCTTTATCCCGACCAGTATAAGCTCCACAAGTAGTGGTGTGCAGAATTTGATTTCAACAATCGGTACTTTCATTGAGAGTAA